GAAGATTAAAATGGAGCAAATCAATTTCTCCTTGTCAAATGCAGAAAATGAATTTCTTGGATTTAAACATGCTACACAAAGAAGCAACTCAGTATTTGCTTCTGTGAAATAGTTGTTTAACTCTTGAAGTTGTTGATCAATCATTTGAAAAAATAATTCAACTTGAAAATGATGTAGATTAGAAATTTGTTCTACCCTACACATTGACTTTCCTTGTGTTTGAAAAGTGTCATTTATATTTAGAACCACAATGTTCTGTTTTTCACAAAATGATGAAATATTATTGAGCAAAGAAGACCAACATCATCTCTCATTGCTTGTAATCTTTGTTTGGACACTGAAACTAATTTCATAGCATTTACAATATCTTGATCACTTCTTTGCAATGCTTGAGATAACTCATGAGTAATCCCTAAAATATTTTTCATTAAGTGCAAGGTGAAAACAAATTTAAAAGTTTGCATAGAATTCAATAAAGCACATGTTTCACCTTTTTGCGCTAAACTTATGTCATCTTCCTCAACTATTTCAAGCACATCACTTTAAATAAAGTAATATAAAAATAATAACTTTAAATACACTAATCTCAAAGATCACTTTAAATGTATAGTTTAGCTATTGAAACATGAAGGAGTAGAGATGGAAGAAGAATTTTTTTTTTTCAATTTCACTCTTCTACACTTTAAAATATGTTAGAGGTAGAGAGGAACTTCAAAATATGAATAGAATTGGAAAAAGTAAAAATAAAATAGAAAAAAGATATAAAATATCCAAAAAGAGGTTAATAACAACTTATAATTTTATTTTACTTAAAATACATACATTATTAATTTATATTTTTTATTTATTTTGATTTACAATTTAAATGCATAATAACTTTATTTTCTTTTTTTGAAACATGTAATTTATTGTTAATTTTTATAACATATTAAAATATATTTTTTAAATCTTCCTTCTCACACAAAAATAATTGCAACAAGACTTAAATTCAATTTTATTTTATAACTTTTTTAATTTTTTTCTATTTTTTTCTATTTTTAAATTTTAAATAGATAATATAATATAATATTATATATTATAAAAAAAATAATTGAAAAGTTAGTGGGGCAACTGCCCCCCACAAGTTAGTACGTAGATCCGTCATTGTGTATACCCATTAAACCTTGTCAAGTTGGTATTATGCTTACTAGTGGGCTAATCATTTTTTAAGACAAATGCCCATGTATAGTAATTAAAGTTTGAACCATTGCACATGGCATTCATCCTTATTCGGATGTTAAACGTGCCTCAACCTAAAAAATATTTTCTATAATTTTAACACCTAACAAATATTTTCTAGATCGATTTGAAAATTTGAGATCCTAGACTAGTTTAATTAATTCGTAAAAATCAAATTTTGTGAAAAAAATAGCTGAGCTGATAGATGAAACAAATCATAACTTCACCATATGTTTTAGTTCTCAATTCATCAAAACTCAGGCCTTCTCCCGTTATTGATTTGTTCGTTGTTGTGCAAATATGAGGTTATGATGTAAAAAGTATTTTTATCTATACGATAATATGTTACTTTTATAAAATAAAATTTTATAATAAATAAATATTATAATTATTTATAACCAGTATTTTAGCTACAGATTTATTATATAAATAAAATTTATAATAAATTCTATATAAAAAAATATTATATTTGAATATAGAAATTGTATTATATTTAAAATTTGTATAACATATGTTTTAAAGATAAATTAAATTTTAAATTTATAATAAATAATTTATATTGTGACACAATATTATTTTTACTTTTTATAATTTATTTTACAAATTATTAAAGTTTAATATAAATAAAATTAATAAATATAAATTAAAATAAATAAGATGTAAAAAGAGTTTTTAAAAACTCTTTCATTGAGAAAAAAACCTTAAAATATTTTCACTAAAGAGAAATCTCTAAAGATACGATTTGATAAGATGGTTATCTATTTTCGGAGGAATAAAATATATTAAAATCTAAATTGTATTTTGAATTTATAATAAACAATTGAACTTGTGATATAATATTATATTTTAATTATTGATAATTTTTTTAAGAAAAAATATTGAAATTCAATTTAGTGATAGGATAGAAAAAGAGTAGGTTAGAGAAACAATATATGAAGATGAATTACATAGATAAAAAAAAATAAAAAAGAGTATGGTTGGAAGGATATTTTTTTTTTACTCGTTGTGAGATAGTGTTATTGAATGAAATGCTCAAATAGAAGAAAAATAGTAACAATAATATCAAGTTGAGAAACTAAGAAGAATGAGAATTTCACCATTCAAATTATCTATTTTAATGATTTGATTTATAATATATATATATATATATATTTGATTTAAATTGTAGAGAAAAGTTTTTATCTTTTTTTGTCAATTCTATATGAAATTAAATCATCATAACAATAAAGCTTATCATTTATATGAAATTTTTGTTACAATTAGAAAAGTTTGATGTAGGTATGGTAAATAAATTTGTATTTGTAGATAACATCCTAATTTTTATAGGGAATATCTAATTTGATTAGATACGAGTATGAATATGAGTAATATTTGTTTTATTAAATCGGGTATAGGGATGCACATGAGTACAAATATACCTGTGTCGTACCCGTACTTATATCTGTATTCGCTTTAAATTTTTATATATTTATTTTATAAAAAATTTATTTAAAATTTATGTAATTTCTTACTCTATTTTTAATTTATGTCAAATAAAGCTTACTTAATATAAATTTGTAATTACTATTCTAAGTTAAAATTTGTATTATTTATTTTTATAAAAAAATAATATTTAATTAATTTTTGTATTGATACAAATATACTCAATATCCAACGCATATGGAGATAAGAGACACAAATTCCATACTCATTGAGTATGAGAATGGGAATGAGGATGAATATAAGATACAAGAATGGATATGGAAAAACGCATAGTCATGTGTCCTATTGCCATCCTTACTTGTATATAGTCAAAATCAAAATACAATGATGAAAATAAGTTGAATTGTATAGAAGATTTTAAACTGTTTTTATGAAAGAAAAATAAACAAAATCTATTTATAAAAAAAGTTGATTGCTTAAGATATTAGTTGAAAATTTTAAACAATTTTATTTTAAAAAATAATTTGTATTTATGAAGTTGAAAGTTTGAAATATTTATTTTTTAACAATTTTTTTTCCTTTAAACTAATTTCCTACATAAAAAATGATTTTTTTTATTCTTACAAAATTAAACTTCATAACAATCAATTTTCAACAAATTTATCCAAACAAAAACTTATTTTGATTATAATCAATTATAATAATAATTAATTATTAAAATATTTTTAATTTTTACAACTTTTTTCAGGTACACTTTCAAAATGAAAGTTTAATTTATGTAAGGACCATAATCCGTAAATATTTATAGATTCTTACAACTTGACTTGGTGAACTCTTAAACTTAATTCACCTAATTTTTATTTTTTTAAATACACTCGAAATGTTTAAATTCATTGTTGGGGTGGGCACGAGGAAAACCATGTTCCCACGTGGATTTTAGTTTTTGATTGTTTGGGTTTAAGTTTTAAGTTTTAGGCTGGTGATAAACACACCTCCACTCTCATATAAACACACCCCCTTTTTAAAAAAAAAATATAAAATGTCTAAATTACCCTTTAAAAAAAATGAAATTCTTAAATTTACACCTCCCTTCCCCCACCCTCCTTCCCCGCACCCCACATTTCACACCCCTCTCCTTCCCAAAGCCTCTTTCCGCTCAATGTTATTAAGCAATATACTTTTACAGTCATTCTGAATAGAAAAAAAGGACTAGTCCCACCATAATCAGCATAAGAAAGGTTCTTTTACAGTCATAGCATTTCGAAAAGTACTTTTACAGTTATTAGCATTCCAGAAAGTACTTTTCGGAATAGAAATTATTGTTCATATAATTCCGGAAAGAACTTTCCGTAATAGTAACTTTAATATTATGGAAAATACTTTCCGGAATTATATAACAAAATATTTCCGGAAAATACTTTCCGGAATAAGAATTTAATATTATGGAAAGTATTTTCCGGAACATTTTTATATAATTCCGGAAAGAACTTTTCGTAACAGTAAGAAGAAGAAGAAGAGGAGTGCCAGAAAGAGAAAGAAGAGGGGTGCGCAATGTCGGCAAGTGATTTTGTATGAGAAAGACTCTTACTTGTTCTATGAAAAGAAAGATTAGTACAAAAATAACTTTTAAAATCGGGGTTTTAAAATCAGTCATAAGGTAGCCATTTTAAAAGTGACGCGGTGGCCTGTACTGCAACAGAACGGCCCCAGAACGGCCCTTGCTGCAAGCAGAACGGCCCTTGCTGCAAGCAGAACGGCCTGTACTGCTTGCAGAACGGGCCGTACTGATTGAAGAACGTGACGTACTGCTTGCAGAACGGGGCGTACTGAAAACAGTACGGCCCGTTTTGATGCAGAACGGCCAGCACTGAAAACAGAACGGGCCGTATTGCAAGCAGTACGGGCCGTTCTGCTTGCGGGGAAGGGGGTGCGAGGAAGGAGGTGCGAGGAAGGAGGGGTGTAAATTTAGGATTTTTTTTTTTTTAAGGGTAATTTAGACATTTTATATATATTTTTTTTAAAAGGGGGTGTGCTTATAGGAGAGTGGAGATGTGTTTATCATGAGCCTAAGTTTTAACCCATGTTTGGAGGGAGCGGAGGGCATGAGGTAGCAAAGAGTAGTAGCCTATACATTCTTGGGCCCAAGGTCCAAGCCCAGCAATATTATTCTACAAACCAACCAAATAATAATAAGAAAAGGTGGCAGCGTGGCAATCCGCGTGAAACACATAATTCAATAAAAAGTCTAATCCAACGGTTCATATCTTCAAAGAAACCATTCACGCGGATCGCTACACAAACCAACGGCAAGGATTCCTCGGTCTCACCCTATATATGAGTAACCTCCGCACTCATTCTCTAATTCACCATTGACCAACACAGCAGAGAGAGTACAAGAGTGCAACCTTTTGATCTCCGAAAGCATCAGGGATTCGGCATGTCGGGAAGAGGAAAGGGAGGGAAGGGTCTGGGAAAGGGAGGGGCGAAGCGGCACCGTAAGGTTCTGAGGGACAACATCCAGGGGATCACGAAGCCCGCGATTCGGCGCCTCGCTCGGCGTGGCGGCGTCAAGCGTATCAGCGGTCTCATCTACGAGGAGACACGTGGCGTCCTCAAGATCTTCTTGGAGAACGTGATTCGCGACGCTGTCACCTACACCGAGCACGCTCGCCGCAAGACCGTAACTGCCATGGACGTTGTTTATGCCCTCAAGAGGCAGGGCAGGACCCTTTACGGTTTCGGTGGTTAGGTTAGGTTAGGTTGTGAAATTGGGGATACTCTTGGTGCCCAATGTAACGCTTCTTTGTTTATGCTATAATTGATTTCTCTTTAATATATGTTCTCAGTTGAAATTGTTTCAACATGCGCGTAATCATTCTGTTTCAATGGTACTGCCACTGGACTAGATTTATCTTCTGTTAGGGCGATTTCAAATTTGGCAGAGTTTTTGCAGGTTGTCTTGCTCTTAGAATGTGTTGCTTTGCTTCGGTACTGTGAATTGAAGATAAGAGTAGTGATTTGGGACTGCATCACCGTTCGCCCATTTTTTTAAAATATTATTTTGAATCTAATTTTACTTCATCAATTTAAAATGGATTAAATAGTTTTTATTATCTCTTGAAATTATACTAACTAGGAAAAAAATACTTTATGTTTTGTTGGTGTAGGAGATATGAAAATTGTGAATTATATTATAGTATGTTTTTGGAAAATAATAATTTTTATTTAAATTAATTAAGTCAAATTATGGAGTTATCGTTTATAAAGAAAATTATATAATTGCTATAATAAATAAAAGGTTAAAATGTCTTCAAAATTTTTTACATGAAAATGATAAATTATTTTTGTATGTTGTTATAGATGACATCAGAATTTAAATTTTAAAAAATAAATATATTTTCCGTTCATAAATTTCTTTCATTTAAAAGACAGTAAAGGTTGATGAAAATATATAATAGAAAAATGTCAAGTTTTATTTATTAAAGTGTTATTATAAAAATAATGTATATCTTTATTAATTTATTAATTTAAAATTTAAATATATTTTTAATGTTAGTGGACTTGACTTTATTGAGAAAAAAAAGTGTGAAAAAGGAAAGAAGTTTTCGGGAGATTTTAAAATTTGAAAAGGTGGAGTTTAATAAAATTTAGAATTACTAATAAAATTAGCATTTCATTATTTGTTAATATTTATAAAGATAATAAAATATTAGTTTTTTTTGATGTGTTGCATATGATGATGAAAAACATTGGAGAATGATCGGTGAATTCATTTATTAGTTTTCATATTGTGTCTAATCTTTTTTCATGGGTGAAACTTATTGAAAGTTGCAAATGGGTTGAAAAGAATTAACCAAGATTAAGGGAGGGAATGATAACATATTGTCTGTCACAAGACTTATTATAAGGGTAATGTCAATGAGAATGTAAGAGGAGTGGACTCGAGATAAAGGTAGAAAACCTAAACTTCTATTAAGCTATAGACTTATTTCATGATTAATTATTCTTTTTGTGTATATTTTCCTTGTAAAAATATGATGAAAATTATTGGAGAGTGATTGGTGAATCCATCCCCTAGTCTCCATATTGTGCTTAATCTTCTTCTATGGATGAAACTTGCTCTTGAAGGTCACAAATGGGTGGAAAAAAGAAAAGAATGGTGTGCCACTTTCCTTGTAAGAAAGATAAGCAAGAGATGGAGATCTTGTCACATGGAGGAATTCATTGATAAAAGACCAAATGATAGATTTCTTCAATAAAGCAAACTAAGACTTTGAGAAGAGAAACTCAATGTGTTTACTCGTTAACTATCAAAGTAATTCGCACATTACATGTAGAACACAATATATAGTTTGGTTGGTCTATAGTGTAAGTTAGACTAACCATGGTTAACTGTCTTATACTTAAGTTAACCAATCCTAGTTAATTGTCTAGAAACTTATGAAGCAAACTAAGTTAATCCTATTTTAAGAATAATCAAGGTTAATTTAAGTTAACTCCAACTACCTAACCTAATTATTACAATTACCAACTAATGATTACTTTTAATAATTTGTTAAGATGTCACTATCAAAGTCATATGACAAAATTAACCACTTAGGTAGCCTAACTACATGGTTTTGGACGTCAAAAATGGATTTTGGCCCAACCAAGCCCAATAAGATCATTATAGTTGCATCTCTCCTAAACTACTAATTACACTCTTAAAGAAAAATAATACTAGGACAAAATTTCCTAGACTGTTTGACCAAAATACATGATCAAAAATAAAGGAAATATTTACAAGGAAAAATAGATACATAGAAGAGAAAGTAAGTTACTAAAATTACCCAAAGTTCAATAATAACTTGGACTTTCTTCCTTAAAGCCTAATCCGCTCCTCTTAGTTCTTTTTGGACTGACTTCTTGACATGATGTCATCATTTTCTCCCTCTTCAAGAGAATTTGTCCTCAAATCATAATTTTCTTATTCTTCTGTAATACCTATAAGAGAAAATAGATTGCAAGCATTAGAAATATTATTTACTTAATGTTCAAAGGAACCTAGCCTATTGCTCCTCTCTAAATGTTGGATGGACCTATCCAAAAAGATTTTTCTTTTCTTGGTATCCTCTTAAACCCTTTTTATTCTATCTACACTATGTACACTATCTATCCTAATGTTACCACCTTCGTCTAAAGATGTTCCTGAAATGGTCTTAGAACTTATGTCGATGGTCAACACTCTTGTTTCAACACTACAACAGTCCATCCATCAGCAACGTTCCTCTGATCATAAATACCAAAAGCTACTCATAAAGCTTCACATTGAAGTTAGTTTTGACAAAAAAACTCTAGAATAGTCTCATTTTTGTTTTGTTCCCAACTTTTGCTATGCCAAAATGGGGGAGTAAATAATTGTTATTGTTTTTGAGTAAATAATTGTTATTAGTTTTGAGTTTTTGATAATTTTTGAGTTTTTGATTCTCTATTTTTCAAACTTTAAACTTTATGGCTTCATCTTAGGGGGAGTTAATTATATAAAGTTTATATATTCTCTGACAATTAAGATATGCTTTGATAACTATGCTATGATATTTTATATATGATATAATGAAATGCATGAATATATAGTTTGACTAATATATATGCCTTGTTATAAGATTTGATTGTTTGAATGATTGTATTAAGATAAATATATAGTCTATTTGAACATGTCAAGAATACTTGCTCTGAATAGGCATATATACTCTTATAAGAAATTATTTGACTAGGTCAATTGCACTTAAAATTTTCTCTTTTCGAAAAATGTGTTTACTATCATTTAAAAAATGGACTTTATTAAATCAAAAGAAGATATTGGGATACTTTAGGGTAAAAATTTTAATGATAACAAACTTAGACGTTTTTCAAGAGAATCTTTTTTAGATCATAATATAAGACAAATTGTGATTGTAACACCCCCAAATTTGATCTCTTAGCGGATCCACTCCACGACACTTAAGACGATGACACTTCACACAACTTCTTGTTGGTTAGAACCCTCCGTGGGTAGCCCTTTCTAAGATGTCCATCTGCATTTTAGGATCAACGACTTGACCCCATAAACCAACACAAAACTTTCCAGCGTGCTTTTTTCTCACTTGCACACTTTCCAGGAAATTTCCCAGAAGGTCCCTCACTCCTAAATTACTCCAAGCCAAGCACGCTTAATTGTGGAGTTCTTATGGCATAAGTTATCGAAAAGTAGATGTATCTTGTTAGTATAGGTAGTAAAAATTAATTCCTTTAAGTCATCCTCAACTATACAATCTCATACTTGTACAATCTTTGAATCCCTCTCATTTCAGTGTGTCCGAACTGTTACAATGACAGACGATTGATTATAGTGACATTAAGTCTCTTAGGCGAACTACTTCGTCTGTAAGCTAAAAACATTTAATGTATATCGTTTATGATGTCTGATAATCAAATTATATTTTTCTATGATATTCCTTAACATATCAAACAAAAATACAAAGCTTCTTAGGTACTCGCATTACAAAAAGGAACACAAACATGCTTTGAGTTAGAAAAGGGACAAACAAATTATATCTCAAAGCACGTGGAATCTTAGAGAAAGTTATTTATGAGTGACACACATAACATTTCCTTTCATTTTGGTACCTTAAAGGTGATAAGTATCTTCCTTAATTAGATAAGAAATGACAATTTGATAAAATGCATTTAATGCCTACAATTAATGCACCAATGGATACTTCTCTTCACAAGGAAGAAGATAGATGAAGCAAGTTTATGAGATACTCAAGGATTTGCAATAGTTATCTCTATAAAGTACTTATATAAAGAAGCTTAAAGATTCAAAAATAAGTGAGAACAATTAATTGTAAAAATTCTTATTCATTTTTTTAATGTAAAAAGCCTTGTAATTGATTTGGTTGCATCACATCTTTGACAGTAACACAAAACATAAAAGCGATTTCCCAGCTTTAAATTTGTTTTATTGCTTTGAGTTTAATAATGTTTGACTATAAAAGAATACTTGATTATTGAAGTCTAGAGAGACTGTGTTTAAAGAATACTTGGATAGTTGCTTGAAGAGGCAAGTCAAATAACACTTACATTGAGCTAGAAGTGACTTGCGAAAAAATATTTGTATCTTTGTAAAAGATAGTGGAACTTCACTTGGTTGATCAAGAACTGGACATAATCTCAGTGGTCGAGACGAACGGATATTAAATTACTATGTGTTGTTTTCTTTTAAACTCTTTGTTTGTACTAGTAAGGCTTTAGGATACTATTTCATTGTCTAAAAAAAGTGTTGTTTTTTATACTATTCAATCCCCTTCTAGTGTCTTTCTTTTCTCCACAGTTTGGTATTAGAGCTGCCTTTGATGGGGTTGGCCATCTAACTGTGCTAAAGGAAAAAGTCCTAAGATGGAAAATAATGAAGGTTAGTATTGTTAGAAAAGAATGACTCAATCCAAGAGGGGGGGTGAATTGGATTCTATGACACTTTAAAAATTTTCAGAGTTCTTAGGATCTTTATTTCAATTCAAACTTTTCTAATATGAATTTTCAAAGAAGTTCCTTAAAAGACTTGCTAATGAAAATGAGTCCTATATGCTTTCTTGATTAATCATTGATAAAGTTCAAAGTTAAGAACAATCAATATGCAACACTTGATTCAGTTTAAAGCAATGTTGTGCATACAAACATGTTAATCAAGATTATTCTCTTTAACACACAACCAAGATATCACTCAAAGTAAAAGATAAGGATAAGACAAGATTGCACAAGTCTTTTATCCTGGTTCAGCCACTCCACATGTGACCTACATCCAGTCCTCAATCATAACTTGATCAAGATTTGTTCCACTATCTCAATGAAGAAGTTTTACAAGCATACCACACATGCATACACTCCTACATTCAAGATAACCACTTTCTTGACCCCAAGAAAGCACCTCTTGTAGAAACCCACTACAAGAATTCCTTACCACTTGAGACACCTACTTAAGATTTACAATTATTCACAAGGAATTAAAG